CTTCCCGCGGACCCGTGGGATTGCCGGACATCGGTCAAGATGGCCGCGCCCCAGCCTGGAGACCATCTGCCGGCGCGGCGCCGCGGGACCCCGGGCGCTCCGGCGCCCCGCGCAAGGCTCGGGTTCGCCGCGCCCCCAGGCCTTGGGGGCGCCAACGCAATGGCCCCCGACTTCGCCCACTGCGAGGAGACCTTCGTCGCGGGGCCCGACTTCAGCGAGCTGCGCGCGCTGGCATTCGCGCGAGGGGCCCCGTGGGGCGCGGGCGCTAGCGCGGCCCACGGCTTCCAGGCTGCCCTGCCTCAGGCCACGGTCGACGCGCGCGCAGTTCCGGGCGCCCATGCGCGCTCGCAGCCTCCGCGCCAGGCGCCGCGCCGGCGGCGCCGCGCGTCGACCCCCCCGCCCTGGGCGGAGAGCCGATCGCACCTTGGGCCGCGGTGGCCGCGCTGGTCGGCGGCGGCGGCAGGGCAGCAGCCGCTCTGGACACCCCTCCTGGCCCCCCTGGCGCAGGCGGCGGCGCTGGCGCTGGGGGCGGGCCAGCGCCGCCGGCGGGGCTCGGCCGGCACGCCATGGAGGACCAAGCTGGCCACGTGATCAGGAGCGGCCATGAAAGGGGATCGGGCATTGGGCGGCGTCGGGTCAGCCGATAAGCCCCGGGGCAGCTGGCGGCCGCGGACGCGGCGCTGCTCGCGCAGGAGGACTTCCGCACCCTGGCCGCCAAGATGGGCGCGCTGGGCGAGCGTCGCGGGACCTGAGATGATGCCGCGGCGAGCTCGACCGAGGACGCTATCTTTGGCGGCCTGCACTAGTAGGGGTCGAGGGCGGCCACGCGGCACTTGAAGCACTTGGGCGACAATAGGAGCAGCACCATCCACGCCCGCGAGAACTGGGCAAGGCTCTCGCAGGCACTGGCGGTCGGCCAGAACTCCTGCATGCACGGGGCGCTCAGCCGCGTCCTCGACTCCGCGGCGATGCGCGATCAGCTGAACTCAAGCGCCCGCCCCTCGTCTGCATGAAACCCCGCGCCCGCCGGCCTGCGCTCATCGAGGAGGCGCGCCGCATCTCGCCGAGCCAGCCCGACTACAGCTCGGAGGAGGCGCTCGCGGGATGTAGTCGGCGGGCCGGCGGCGAGGCCATCGCTCCGACCTCGTCGGCGCACGCGGCCGACCTGTTCAAGCAGGAGTCTGCGATCGCGAAGGAGGCTAGAGCAAGCGCGGCAAGGGCAGCAGGGGCGACGACGGCTCGGCGGCGGCCCATGACGCAGTTGTCAAATGACGCGCAGGGGCCCATGGGGACAGCGATTGGGCCCGCTTGCCCACCTTGCGCGCCGACTCTGGCATCCCGGCCCCTTCGACGGGCCCCGAGGTGAGGCGAGTGCCCAGGGGGGCCCCCCCGCTCCCGAAGTTGGGAGAGGCGGCGCCGCATGCCTTGACCCTCTCTCACTCAGTGCGTCAACGGCTTCTGCGACGCCGCGCCAGGGGGCCCCGGGCAGACGAGCGCGTCGACGCCCTCAGCGAGCTCTACGGCGCGGCCTCGAATTGCACGT